AAATCCCCTACATTTGGAAACAAAATAACATCTGGGCTAGAAAAAGAAATCATAAAGGAAATTAAGAAATATTTATAACTGAATGTTAATTAAAACTCTGCATGTCAAAAAAATCTGCGGGAAACAGCTAAAGCCATACTTAGAGGGAATTTTATAGCTTAAATACTTTAGGAGAAAATAGTAAAGACAAAAAAAAATGAACTAAGCATTCAAATCAGGAAAATGGAAAAAAGAGCAATAGAACAAACCCAATAAAACACAACACATGAAAACAATGAAGAATAGAAAACAGAGAATCAAATAGAGAAAATAAACAAACCCAAAAGCTATCTGTTTGAAAAGATTAATTATACGTAGACTTCAAGCAAGAATAATCAATAACAAAAAATAAATAACTATAGCAGAGATCTTAAAAAGAGAGTATTATGAGCAACTTAAGTTAATAATTTGAAAACATAAAAATATTGGCACAAAAAATAGGGAACTTGAATTGATCAATACGTAACAAAAATTCAAATGACACTCAAAGCCTCTTCTTACTAACCCCCCCAAAAATCCAGACACAAATAGTTTTATAATGTTTTACCAAAAACTTAAGGAATTGTTCATTTGTATCTCCTATAAGATTTTCCAGAAAGTAGAAGAGCAGTTCTTGTCCAGCTTATTTTGAGGAACTAGTAAAATCTTGTTTACAAAACCCGATAAGGGCATTTCACTTATTAATGTCAAAAACCAAAAAAAAAACACAGTCACAAAAACAAAACCAAAACACACAAAAACCCTAGAACACAGTAGAACTTCCCCATAGGGTTTGCTGGTGGTGCAGTGGTTAAAGCACTTGACTGCTAACCAAAAGGTCGGCAGTCCGAAACCACCAGCGGCTCTGTGGGAGAAAGATGCAGCAGTCTGCTTCCATAGAGATGTACAGCCCCGGAAACCCTGTGGGGTTGCTGCGAGTCAGCATCAACTAGATGGCAGTGGTAACTTATTAATGTAGATGTGAAAATCCTAAATAAAATATTAGCTAACTTAATTGAATAGTATATTAAAAACCAGATGATGATAAAGTATGGTACCTTCCAGGAATACAAGGATGGTTCAACACCAGAAAAGTATCATAAAAAAATTAAAATGAGACACAGGTGTTGGATACAACTGCCATTATTTGCATATGATATGATAATTTACCAAGAAAAAACAAGAGAATTGACAAAATACTAGTACTAATAGGAGAATTCAGCCAGATTTCAAGATCAACTTACCAAATCAATGGCATTTCACTATACCTGCAATAATCAACCAGGAATATAGTAAAAATAAGACACCATTATCAGCCCAAACTATATGTTATTTAGGAATTAATTTAAGTATAAAATAATACAACTAATAAAAATTGAGAGGAGATGGTGGTAAGAAATTGGGAGACAGAATAAGCTTTTTCTGTCAGAGAGTCAGAAGATACCATTTTTAATTTACTAAGTTAAAAAAACAAGAGCGGTAGCACTATTGCCTAAATTTGGGTTGCTGTTGTTGTTAGTTGCGGTCAGTTAACTCTGACTCATGGCGATGTCATGTGTGCAGAGTAGAAATGCTCCATAAAGTTTTCAAGGCCGTCACCTTTCAGAAGCGGATTGCCAGGCCTGTCTTCTGAGGTGCTTCTGGGTGGATGTGAACCGCCAACCTTTTTGTTTGTAGCCGAGCACTTAACCAATTGTGTCACTTGGTGAAAGAAGAGGATACATACTAACTTTTGTGATTGCTCCTACTAGGGAACTAAAAGATTCAGTTCAGATAAATAGAAAACTATGGATATTATAGACAGATATAACTGTAAACTTTAACCTAGAATAAAAATAAAAGCGTGCATAAAAATCAGAAAATCAATAAAAAAGCAAAAGCAAGTAAAATAAAGACTTTAAAAAGCTATGAAAATTAAAAAGACAACATAAAATAATATTCCACAATTAAGATCAGATTTGACATGTCTCTAAATGTAACTAGGGTTATTTTATCTACTAAAAAAATATATTTTCAGACTGAATCACAAAGCAAAAGCCAACAACTAACTCTGTGCTGTATAAAAGAGACACAGAATAGTGATTTATAAAGTTTGAAAATGAATGCACAAGGTATACAAGACAAGCAAACAAACAGAAAATGGAGTAACAGTCTTAATAACAGTGGAATTCAAGCCAAAAAATATTAGACAAGAAAAATAAGATGTCAAAGAGTAAGAACTCGTAGTCTGTTACAAAGGAAGCAAAGAGATTTATTGGAGGCCAAGAAAACAGTTCCAACTGGAGAAACATTCAGACCGCAAAGTGAAACCAAACGCTCTGACGACCTGAAGATGAACAGATACATTTACACAGTAAAATCGGGAACTTACAGGACAATTTTCTAATTGGTGTTTACAACTTTAGGGAAGTGGGAGGCGGGACAATTGAAAGCTGGGGAAGGGTAGGGACTGGTGCATAGCATACATGTGGGTTATCTAGATCGGTTACTTTCCTAAAAGTATGTGACTAAAGGGGGGTGTGCAGGGTGGTCATAAGACAACCACGAAACAGTTCCAGGAATTGTTTTTGAAACATTAAGGATCTTAAAATAGATTGTTATTTTACATTTAATTGGTTGACCTTTAAGTCTGGCAAGCAACAGCAAGTTTTAACTGAAACTTCCTAAAACAAGGCACCTCATATGATTTCTGATAAAGCCACCTGCATCAAGATCCCCTAACCCCAGAGAACAACATTTCCTGAGTTACACGCTTAAGTCTGTACAAACGTTAATGGTTGTTGGGGAATTGAGCAAGAGTGAAGATGAAGCTTGAACTCAGGCTTAAGCCAGCCATTTTACTAAGGTCAGTTGCCTGAATTTTCAAGCTCTCGCACAAAGGGCACTATAAGTTAAAGGGTACAATGCATGTTGCCGATTTATTATTGATATTTATGCACCAAATAACATAGTAACAACTATTATAAAGCAAAAATTACAAGAGTAGACACACATGTACTAATAGGAGATGACATTAATTCATTTCTCTCAGTCCAAGGTAAATCAAGTGAACTAGTGTAAGAAAGTTTATAGGAGACCTAAACAATATAATCAACCAGATAGAATAATGGAGATAGATTGAACTCTGTATCAGTTGATAATAGAGAATATACTTTCTTTTCATGTGCATATGGAATATTCATAAAAATTTAATGATATATTAGGTCACAAAGAAAAATCTAAATAAATTCTTAAGGATAAATAATAAATGCAATATTCTCTAATAATACAGTAAGATTAGAAATTAGTGACAAAATCAGAAAATAAAAGGGTCCTTTGATATGTAAATTAAAAACAAGAAAAAACTGTCTTAAAGAATACTCAGGAAAAAGAGGAAGTACTAATTAAAATTATAGAATTTCTGGAAAACAATGATTATGAAAATCCTACATATCAGAATTTATGGCATATAACTAAAGCAGTGCTTAGAGAAAAATTATAGTCTTAAAAACTTATATTAGTAAACAAAGAAAGAACTAAATGAATTAGACATCTTAGTCAAAAAGCTGGAAAAAGAAAAAACCCAGAGGAATGAAAAAAGATTAAAAATGGTAAAAACAGATACTAGAAAGTTAGAAAACAGTAAAAGATGTATTATATAAATAATAATAAATAATAAATACTAATTTATTGAGAGCAATAAATTAGAAAAATTGCTAGGTAATCTAACTAATGAAGATAGCACAAATTAAGAAAATAAGAAATGAATGGGAGAATAAACTCAAAAACAAAGAAAACTAAAAGGATCGTAAGAGTGGTTTGTCCAGCTCTATACTAACATATTTCAAGGCCTGAGTTAAATGAGAATATTGTTTAATTTAACAAAATTGATCTTAGAAGAGATAGAAAGTCTAAATGGACTTATTCTCATAGAATAGAACCATGACTACCCTGTCATGAAACTCCTGGTCCAGATGATATTAGAGGGAAACTCTTCCAAACCTTTAAAGAACAGATAATTCTGAAGCTGTTTGCACTGTATTTTCTAAAATTAACACACACACACACACACACACACCCTTTTTTTTTTTTTTAAAGAAGGCTACAGTTCCATCGAAAGGAAACAATGTTTAAAGACCTGACGAATGATAAGGACTTGGAAGAGCCACAGAACAGTGAGAAGTTCAGAGTGGAAAGAATATGGAGGAGAAGTGGGTAGAGGAAGGAAAGGTAGGATATACTAGGTCCAGCCAGATTGTGAATTATCTTGGCATTATACACCAAGATAATTAATTTGGACTTTGTACTATAGGCAACATTGATCCAACAGTGGCTTTATGTGATCAACCATATGTTTTAAGAAAGTAACTCTGGTGGCCATATGGAAACACACTGGAATGCAGGAAATAGTAGAAGGCTGTTTAATAGAAGAAGCAAGAAATACTGAGATTCTACCTAGACTAAGGCAATGGCTGTGAGGTTGTGTATATAAGAGAGACAATAAAGGGCTCTATAATTATAATGTGTAATTTTAATGATCATAAAATCTTTACATTTTAAAGTATTTTTAATAACTCTGATCTAATTTGATTCTAAGAGCACCCTTATAAAGTAGGAAGAGCAGACACTATTATCCCCATTTAACCCTACAGGACAGAGTAGAACTGACTCATAGGCTTTCCAAGGAGTGGCTGGTGGATTCAAACTGCTGACCTTTTGGTTAGCAGCTGTAGCTCTTAACCATTGTACCACCAGGGCTCCATCTGAAAGATGAACATGTTGAGAAACAAAATATGTAATAGTTTTCCTTGCTTAAATGTACACAGTTCATTTTTCTTTTCATTATGTTATGGTATGCTAAAAGCTCTTATTTCTCCCCAATGGGAAAAATATATCTCCAATTATTTTTTTCCCCAAAATTATAACATGTATAGAGTATTTCAGAAACAACCGGAATATTCCATATCTACAACATTTGTGACTATTTTCAAAGGTCTTATTACCTCCAAGGCAAGTTGATTTACATTAGGAACTGTAGCTCCAGGAAAAATATCTCCTATAATCTTTTCAAAAAGTGGGACATCACCAGGAAGAAATTTTGGTAAACTAGCTTCTCTTATAGCCTGGATAATGATCAGAGTTTCATCTGTTTCAGAAAGACTCTCACCAGTGTTACTTTAATGGTGGAAGAAAACAAACATAAAGAACAAATTAGCAGGCATGCTTTGCTGACACTGAAGACAATATTCTTTTGTAGGAGTGATCATTCCATTATTCTTTCCTGCTCTCCCTCTCTACAATGCAGCCATATGGTTTGGCTGCGATTAATCTGGTCTCCAGTTCCAGAGATGAGCCCTGACTGGTCTAGAACAATCTGGGTAATGTCTTTCCCCAGTGACTGATTCAGGATGGGCATTATATCAATCAGGGTTTTTAATTGCAAATAACAGAAATGAATTCAGGCTAATATCAAATGGAAAATAACTACTAAAAATCTCTAGCAGGGCCAAAGAACTAGTTTTGTAGGCTGTTCATCTGGGAACAATGGCCAAAATCATGCTACAGAACTGGCCCTATGAAGGTATGATGCCACCATCAATGGGTCCAGAGAGCAGTGGCTGTCCCACCAATACCACTGATAACTGGCACTAGAACGGCTTGCTGTCTCTGCTGCTTCTGGTAACTGGATATAGCTGCTGCCACTGCTGTCACCGTCTCCAGAAAAGGCTCTGTGTATAACCTATTCCTTTTTTTTTTTTTTTAGAGCAGTTTTAGGTTTATAGAAAAATTAAGCAGAAAGAACAGAGAATTACCAAATACTCCCTCTACTCTTGCCCACAGTTTCCCTTATTAACATCTTGCATTGTAGTACATTTGTTACAGTTGATGAACCAGTATTGATAAATTATTATTAACCAACAGCAACTAACTGCAACAACATTATTAACCAAGGTCCATAGTTCATATTAGGGTTTATTCTTTGTGTGGTACAGTTGTATGGGTTTTGACAAATGCATAATATCCTATGTCCACGGTTACAGCATCATACGGAGTAATTTCACTGCCCTAAAAATCCCGTGTTCTACCTATTCACTCCTCCCCCATCGATCACCCCTCTTCCCCAGAACCGAGCCCTGACAATCACTTATCTTTTTACTTGTCTCTACAGTTTTGCCTTTTCAAGAATGTCATATAATTGAACTATACAATATGTAGCCTTCAGACTGACTTCTCTCACTTAGTAATTTAAGGTTCCTCCATGTCTTCGCCTGGCTTGATAGCTTATTTCTTTTTATCATTGAATAATATTCCTTGCATGGATGTACTACAGTTTATTAATTGCCTTATTGAAGGACATCTTGGTTGCTTCCACTTTTTGGCAATTCTGAATAAAGCTACTATAAACATTTGTTTCCAAGTTTTTATGTGCACATAAGCTTTCAGCTCTTTTGGGGAATGTCTTAGTTTCTATAAAAGAAATACCACAGGTGGGTGGCTTTAAAGAACAGAAATTTATTTCCTTACAGTTTAGGAGGCTAGCAGTCCTAATTCAGAGCACTGGCTCTAGGGGAAGGCTTTCTCTGTCCACTCGAGGGAAAATCCTTATCTCAGCTTCTCTAGTATTCTTCTTGGCATACCTTGGAGACCTCTATGAGGCATCTATCTTTCCCCCATTCATGCTTACTTGCTTCTGTGCCTAATCTGCTCCATTTATATCTCAAATGTGATTGGCTTAAGACACACCCTATATTGATATGACTTCATTAACATAAGAAAGAAAACTCTATTCCTAAATGGGGTTACATCCACAGGTATGTGGGTTAAAACTCTATTCCTAAATGAGATTACACCCACAGGTATAGAAGTTAGGATTTACAACACATATTTTGGGAGACACAATTAAATCCATAACAGGTAAACCTAGGAACATGACGGGGTTCCATTCTGAGGACTCTGTCATAAGTCTGTTCTGATGTGTCAGATATCTTTTTTTTTTCTTTTAGTTTTCATTCTTATTGCCTTTTATTATCAGTATCTTTATAAATCTGATCTTTATTTGTCTTTAGGGGTTGGCGTGAGAATGCTAACATCAGCAAATTACTTGCTGCAACATTGTATGTAGTACATATTACTAACTATATGATGACCCTCTACTCTACCAAGCACGATGTCCTTCTGATAACATGTCCAAAGTATGTGAGACAAAGTCTTGCCATCCTTGCCTCTAATGACCATTCTGACTGCACTTCTAAGACAGATTTGTTTGTTCTTCTGGCAGTCCATGGTATATTCAATATTCTTCGCC